GAAAGCGTGCCTTGTATTTGCTTCCACGCCACTGCCGGCACCCCCGCCTGACCCTGGCGCTTGCTGTTCACCCTGGTGACAGCGACAATGGCCTCTCAGCCTCTCCCCTCCCTCCCCTGCCTGCCTGTTCTCTTCACTTTGGCCTTGGCTGAGGTGGGCCCCTCGCCTCCCACCCCCAAAACTGAGGGTGGTCATCGCTGCCTGGTGAGTGAAACATGTACCCTTCTCGCTCTTCTCAGCCATTTGCCACGTGACTCCGACCCCTCCTCCACCTCATTCTGTACTTAACACATGAAGTCCCCGAGTCAGTGCTGAGCGGCTCTCCCCTCCGTGCACCGGGGACACGGCCGGGAAGTGAGCGGGACAGCTACCTCCCGGGAAGCCCGCTGCCTCTCAGCCCCCACCGCCTCCTCAAAGCTGCCTTCAGCCTCTTCAGCCCCAGCAGTGAATCCCTTTTCAGAATCCCCACTGCTCTTGGTGTAAGCATCGCTTTACTTGGTCTCTGATCTTTTCACGTGTATTCGTTTTAGCTCCTCAACTGGGCTGGAATATCCTAGCGGTCCACTGGTTTTTATTTGCACTGATGCAGCCACCCCCAAGGTTGGGGGTGTGTATCTGTCACTGGCGGTGTAGTATTTACAGTCACTGCTCCCAACCTGCAATTCCATGTCACTGAGGTATAATGAGGGTAATACAGTGAGCCAGGCGGGGCATGAAGCGCTGTGCATTTTATCATCGAACGAGTTGGTACTCAGTACATACTTCACTGATTTGAGGAAGACACTTCTGCTCAGCTGTTCTCCAGCCGTGGGTCTCAGGGAAGTCACGTCTGCCTTCTGTGACCCCAGTTCCTCATTTGCAAAATTGGGAACTAGATTCCTGCTTTTTAAGTTTCTTTCCAGTTCCAACACTGTTCAATTTCATTCCAATCTACTCGTTTCTGGAGAATCTTTACTGTGTACTGTGCACAGATTTGTTGCTCAAGGGAATATCAAACAAATACGGCACAGCCCATGCCCTCAAAGTCTTCACCATCCGCTGTAATAACAGGAAGCCAGGAGTGTCTGAGGGGTGAGAACACAGAGCCACTGACGTCCCTGGGAGAAAGCGGGGAGGTATCTGAGTTGGTTCTAATTAGAAGCTTCCTGAAGGCGGAGAGATTTCCGTTCGGTTGAAAGGAGGCAGTTGACGGAGTGGGAGTACAGAGGCACCTCCTGGCAGACTGGTGGGCAGGGCAGCTATTCAGCAGTGAGCAGAACAGGCTGTGTTTAAGACCAGCCAGCCAGACGTTTTGCCGTGTGCTAAATTTAAAGTGGTGACCCTCCTGGGGTTACTGCAGCCGGCAACAGGAGATTCTCGACCACATCGGGAAAGCATGTGCATCCCAGAGGGGTGAAGATGCATCCTCAGATTAAAACTGGTTTGGCATCCTCACACGCTGAGGCTCCTGGGGGTGGTTGTGGGGGGCATCTGTCCCAAGGATGATACATCTGGGTTCCCGACACAATATAATACAATGAACTACCATGACGATTGTCTAATACTAGTGTTCAGTAATAATAAATATTTATGTCTCTTCTCATTTCAAAAAGGATCTGAAGGGGTTTGCAAATACATTCACATCCAATGAGATTAAAAATGTAAGAGAGAAACAGTGAGAAAATAAAAGTAGAAATAATAGTGCGAGGCCAGAGAAGGAATTCAGGCGCCCCAAAGCTCTAAATACTTGGCCAGAGGTGGGCTGCATGACTGGGGCTCGGCATCCTGGTAACCAGTGCGTATTTCCCCCTAAAGGGAGGTTTTTAACAGAATAATGTAGCATCTCGGAAGTTCCAGGCTTGTATTCAGAGACTTACCAGATCAAAGAGGTTTTGCATCCTGGATAATGCTGTGTGCTTTCATTCCTGTTGCCTGTGGTTTAAATAAACTCATTAGAAATGAGCACTGAAAGCAAAATGCCCGCCGAGGCTTTGTGGCTGAGTCTGTGGGGCTGAGTTGCAACACACCAGTGATTTGACTTAAGGAAACCCCAGTTCTGAGGTCCAAGAGAATGTCCTCTATTTAGAAAACACACTTGTCATTTATTACTTCCTCCTAGGAAAGGCTTTTCTCTCTGCCCCCCCCCGCCTCCCCTCCCCACACACTTCTGCCCCATGATACAGTCTTTGGATGGGTTGGTGCACCGTGCCCAGGGCCACCGGGACTCCACGCGTGCGGACAGGGGCAGAGGGGGGCGGGCGCCAGGCCCCGGCCAGGAGCGACAGCTCTGCTCTCCCGACAGCGTGAAGCAGCACGAGCGCTACGGCCAGCTGACCCTGGTCAACTCCACCGCGGCCGACACCGGCGAGTTCAGCTGCTGGGGGCAGCTCTGCACCGGCTACGTGTGCAGGAGGGATGAGGCCAAGACCGGCTCCACCTACATCTTCTTTACAGGTAAAAGGTTTGCTCCCTAGCGGAACTCGTCACACTTCTGGACTTGGCCCGTAGTAAAGGTTCCCACCGTCTGCTGCCCATCAAATAAGGACAATCAGGGCACTCTCTGTTGGCCAGTTATCTCATGTAAGTCTCTCGCTAGCCCTTCTGGGTAAGTAGAAAATCATTTCCTTTTTTTCCCTCCCAGTGGGAAAGTTGAGGTTTAGAAAGATTAAGTCAGTCTTTCAGGTCCTACTGCATGTAAATGGCTGTACTGTCTGATTCTAGTCTGTACCCACATTGTCCAATATGGTAGCCACCAGACCTGTGTGACTATTTGAATGTAAATGGGGATTAAGTGAAAATAAACGAAGTTAAAAACTCGTTTCTCAGTGACACTTGCCAAGTTTCGAGTGCCCTGTTGCCCCGTGTGGCCAGGGGCTAGCCCGCCAGACGGCGCAGACCGAGGACATCACCATCATCCCAGAGTGCTCCACGGGACAGCACTGCTGCGGACCTTGTCACTACGGCTCAGAAGCTAGGATGAGCTCCTTTCTGGAACCTTCATAGTCACAGACACCTGGCTAAAGGCTGCCTCGCATTTGTTTGCACGAGTGCAATGGCCGGGGCCCTTGTGGCTCCAGTTCTGGTCCCTGAGCCTAAGCGAGGTGCCCCTTTGAAGGCGTGCAGGTCAGAGGGGACTCTGCCCATAGCTGCAGGGCCAGGTCTGTGTTGGCCATGTGGAAACTGCACTTGGAGAAACAGGCTCTGCAGAGTAGGCTGCCAGCCTCCTTACTCTGCCTAGATGTCTCAGCTCTGAAGTTAGGGGGATGACGTTGTCCAACAAAGTTCAAAGGTCAGGAATCTTCCAAATATCACCCGCTGGTGCTGCCTTTGTCCAAGGCATTTCAGGTGAAGCCAGAAGGCGTTTTTAGTGTCTGGGCAGGGGTGGTCATGAGATTTGCCCAGATCCTGAATCCATCCACCTTTAGACCTTCAGTGACTAAGGCCTGTGACTCAGATGACCTGATGCCCTGGCCGTTAGTGAATGCCTTAGCCAGAGCTCATGCATTTTCCCTTCCTGCCCAGACAGCAGAGCACTCTGCAATTCTGCAGGAACATCTGTCTCATTTCATTTCCACAACATCTGGAGGAGATAAGTAGAAGCTACTTTATTTTCTCTGTTTTCAAAATAATAATGCTGAGCTGAGATGCAGCAGGGCGAGGAGACTTGTTCCACGTTCCACGACTTGAAGTGTTGGAGTAAAGAGTCAAACCCTGTTTTTCTGATCCAGGGTCCAGTGTTCTTACTGCCTTGACCCATTTTTAAGACACGGTGATGGACAGATTGATAGACACGAGCTAGCAGACCTGGTGGTGTCAGAATTGCTGACGGCTGTTCACAGGCCGATCTTTCTGAGCCTCATTCTGGAATGTGCCACCCAGAAGGGTCCGCGTGACCTTAGTATTACCCCAGCCCAGGAAGCAGCAGTGGGAAACGCAACTCGTTAAGACTAACGAGAGCCTGTTCTTCCAGGCAAGGACTGAGACCACATTTCACATTGCAGTATGAAGACTCTTTGCCATGATTAGCGCTGTCATGTCTTCTCCAAATACAGGGTTTTGGAGCTGAGATTTTGAACTGAAGACCTCCCCTCAGCAGGTCCCATTAGGGTTATAGGCTCTCTGAGTTCTGGAGGAGGATCCTCTTTCTTAATTTATGGAAGCCCTTTTGTGACTCAAAGGAAGGCTAAAGAATTAATACTTATTGGAGCTTTCAAGAGACCTGGATCGGGATATGACCTGACATACCATTGTATCATTCCTCGGCACTGAGTTAAGGGGCCAGTTGGAATTTCAGTACAGGGTGGAGCGATTTGTCTTTTCAGGCACTGGATGGGTTTGGAAAACCAAGATGGGCTTTTACAGAGGCTGAGCTTCCTGCTGTGAGCTCTGGATTCTTTCAGAGCATATGCTTCCCTCAACCCACACAGAGAAACTTATGTTTCCTGGAATTTGACTGCAAACACTAAAGCTTCTTTTGACTGTTGTTAATTTGTGCAATTTTGGATTAAGCAACTGCCCCATTATATTTGCTCTTTATCCAGGAGGCTCTCAGATGGTCCCCCCCCAGTAAGTTTTTATTAAAGTATAACATATACAAAGGAAAATACAGAAATCAACTCTACAGTTCAGTAACTTATCCTCAAGTGAACGTACACATGTAACCAGCACCCATATCAAGGACATGACGGTAGGGCTTCCTCAAGGTCAAAGGCATGGGCTCCAATTCATGTATGTGGTAAAACACAGTAACGGGCACTTCACTAAATGTGGACTCTGTTACAATTTGGATTTTAGCTTTTAGCCTACTAACGCTAATGCTTCTTGAAATACACGTTTCCATGGGTTTTGTTTTCTTAATGCTGTCATGCATCTGGGTGGATACAAGCATATTTGCAGGGGGCATATATAATCTATAATTTAAAAAATAAACTTGAGCAAACTTATTCTTGGGTAGATGAAAACTACTGATTGCAAATACATATTCTTTTCTGTTTGTTAAAGCAACTGGTATGGTCACTTCTTTCAAGGTATGGATTATAGGGCAGGAAGTAAGACCTTGTTTTTCATGTTCTGAAATTCAGATTGTTCCCTTATTCTACTGACTTTGCTCATTGGTTCAGATTCCTCCACAAAACCCTAAAACAAGTTGCTTCTGAATCTGACAATCAGAAGTTCCTTAGATTTTAGTGTTTGCTAAGAAGAGATCTTGAATACCATCTACTCCAGATTCTCCTCTTTACAAATGAGGATGTGGAAGCACAGAGAGACTAATTGATTCACTCGAGGGCGCTTGGACTTTGTGTGAACCAGGGGGTGTGAGGTCCAACGTTGATCAAGGTGCCCTTGCCCAAACCTGAACATCAATTTAAATGGCACAAATCACCCGGCCTCACGTAAAGTCTTGCAAAAGACGGAGACTCACTGAGCTGTGATTCCGTGTTAGCAAACGAGGCACTCAGAGCCAGAGAGCTCTGGCCCATGAAGACATTTGCTGCCATGTCCAGGAATCCTGTCCCCAACCCAAAACATCATACAACTGTGGCACAAAGAAAGCTTGTGAAGGAGGAAGCCAAGAATTGTTTCAGGAACATTGTAAGAAAAACAAGGGAGACAATTTAAGAAATGCTGGGGTGTGATTCAATTCAAAGATTTCTCTTAGCCACTACTGTCATCTCTCACAGGATGACTGAGAAAACAAACTATTTAATACGCCATGTCCAAAACAAAGAACAACACCCCCAAAACCCAATCCAGAGCCCCTCGACTGTCCTGAGGAAAGCGTGGGTAACCCAGTCCTCATGTCTCTAAGACACAAGTGTCATCATTGACAGCTTGAAGAACGAGCAGGTGATTTCAAAAGACGTAGGAGGAGGGTAAGAAACGGGCTGAAGGGCCCCAGTCCAGGGGCGGCCCAGCAGAGCCCAGAACCCGAGATGAGCAGGTTCCTCGTCTGTCCCTGCTTGACTCCCTTCCCATTGCCCTGGCCGGAACAGGGTCCTCAGGGCTGTGAGGACGCCAGCAGCCCTGGGGCCCGGTCTCGGCAGAGCTCTGCTGAGCTGGCCATCCCTCCCGACGGGCAGTTACTGAGCGCGGGCCACGGGGCTGACTTCTCTAGAGACACGGCAGACTGTCGACAGGTTTTACAACGGCTCTGAGCACAGGGCAGTCGGTCTCCTTCCCTGCTTTCTTGGTGGCTAATTCATGAGCCCGATTTGGGCTTGAACTAATTAATACCCATTTTGCTTCCTTTAAGAAGCTGGAAGGGAGTGTCCTTCTTCCAAAAAAGCAAAAGCATTTTAAAAAGTAGCCTTTTCAATTCGTAAGACTCAGTGCTCTGAGGATTTTACCAACCCCTCTTGTCTCTGGGCCCTGAATGTTTCTCCCGTGTAAATAAATAAGCCTGTGTCTTTCCTTTTGCAGAGAAAGGAGAACTCTTTGTACCTTCTCCCAGTTACTTTGATGTTGTCTACTTGAACCCGGACAGACAGGCTGTGGTTCCTTGTCGAGTGACGGTCCTGTCAGCCAGAGTCACGCTCCACAGAGAGTTCCCGGCCAAGGAGATCCCAGCCAATGGGACGGACATTGTTTACGACGTCAAGAGAGGCTTTGTGTACTTGCAACCTCACTCCGACCACCAGGGGGTGGTCTACTGCAAGGCGGAGGCTGGGGGCAAGTCTCAGATCTCCGTGAAGTACCAGCTGCTCTACGCCGAAGGTAAACCTGCTCCCCCGCAGGGCCTAGACTTCAGTCGCTTCCCGCTGGTCAGGATCAGGGACTGCTGCCTATCACGGGTGGAAGTTAGGAGGCACAGAGTGCTGTTCTTAAAGGCTTGTTTACAGCACTGCCATTTCTAGAATGTTCTGCATCCTTGCCCATGACCCCAACCCAACACCCCCAAGTGCCCTCCATATCCTTCCAACGTTCCCTCTGGTACCGCCTCTGTGTGATGAACCAGCAATGGTCCAGTGCCCCCAGCCTCTTCTCAGAACATCCTCTCAGATGAGAACATTATGTTTTAAACAAAATCTGCTCTCTCCTCAGGCCACACTTCCTTCCCCACCGTGGCAGGTCAGAGGTGGGGTTGGTCCCCACTTCCCGACCCTCAGTCTCTCACCCTGTTTCCTCTGCTCCCCTGAGGTCCGTGGCTTCACCAGTGGTCTCATCTCCCCTCCTGTCAGCCCCTCCCGGGGTCCTTGTCTTCTTTGCTGCTTTATCTTCAGGGTGATGTCTCCATCCACCCGGAGCCCCCTGGCCTGGATCACCCACCACCTCGTCCACTCCACCCAGACACCCCCTCCCTTTCACATGCCTCTCAGCTTTGTCACCCCAGCGCCACCAAAGCAGCTTTGGCTAAAGGGCCTCCCAGGCCACTAAACCCAGCAGACTCATATCTGTCCCCATCCTTCTAGACTCTGCCTCGCCCATATGAAACCCTCTCTTCCCTTGCCCCATTTTTTCCTGCTTCCCCAGAGCCTTCCCATGAGCCCTGGCCCCTCTCTACCTCTCCCAGGTTTTCCAGGTTGGATTCCCTCAGCCACATTTCTCCATCCTCGGTCTCGTCCTGGGCTGCTCCGCCATGTGCACGCTCCGCTGTGTGTCTGGTCACTCATTATTCCTGGGGTGTGGGGGAGGTGTGTCCCCAATCTGGGAGTGTCAGCTCCCCATGTCCAACTGTCTACCTCACGTCTGCACTGAGATGCTCCATGGGCCTGTCCCTGACCCCTGGGCCTTCCTCGTCCCAGGGAGGGCCCTGCAGCTCCGGACTCCTCCAGCCCTTCTGACTTCTTCCATCCAGTCACCCAGATCCTGCTGTTTCTCTCCCTCCTGCTGCAGAAAGAGTTCAGCTGTCTTCTCTGCCCTGGGCCCATATGCACACCTTTCCCAGTGCTCTCTTCTTCCCCATCTTTTCTCTCTCCATCTTCCACACCGTAGCTGATTATAGTTCCAGTTAAAGCCATTCAGTGGTTTTTCTTAGAACCAAAGTCAGAATCTCCTGTGTGGCTTGAAAGGCCTCACATGCCCCCCCACCTCCCTGCAGCGTCTCCCCTCCCCCCAGCCTTTAGGTTTTAGTGCAAACATCCTCAGGGAAGCCCTTCCTGCTTCTCAGACCATCCTGAGCTCCCTGAGCACTCTGGGCTTCTCCTTCAGGCTTGACCAGCACTCAGGTTTTAAATTAACCACAGGATGACGTGCTGAGGGGCGACCTCCCCGCCAGGAACAGAGGCCATGGGGCTCAGAGACCACCTGCCTCGTTCGCTGCTGCAGCCTCGGCTCTCGGCACGAGCTTGCTTTGCCGTCAAAGTGACTTGAGTCCACTGAGCACAGTGAAGACTCTGGGCTCCAAAACAGGGGGAAGCAGAGGCACCGCCCGCGGCCGCGGCACACGCCCGCCGCCACCGCCCCTCTGCCGGCGGATTCAGACTTCCCCTTCCTTCTGAGGCCGCAGAGCCACGCCCCTGTCTGCTCACCTTCACCCCTTTGGCCGCCCTCCCTTCCTTTCTCTTGCTCTGCCCCCCAGGTACCTTCTTCTCCCTCGACCTGTTCATTCCCTTCACGTGAGCTCCGGGCAGACCTTCTGGGCTCGTCTCCCAGTCACAGGTGTCACGGCAGGACTGGGGGGGATCCAGGTGGCCACCCTGCTCTGGACCGCCGAGGGGGAACCCAGAGCGGTGGACGGGGTAGGCCTGATGCTCGCTGGGAAGCTGCAAGAACGGCAGGAGAGCTCCGCGTGTGCCCGAAGAGGGGACCACCACGCCTGCTGGCCTGTCTGCCGTGGGCTCACCGCGTTCACCCTCGTTCCGTCTCCTGCTCACTTCCAGTTCCCAGGGGCCCCCCGTCCACAACCATCTCGGCGTCGGCCAACAAAGTGAAAGGTGGGGATGACGTCAGTGTCCTCTGCACTGTCCTCGGGGAGCCGGACGTCGAGGTGGAGTTCAGGTGGATCTACCCAGGGCAGAAGGTAGGCGAGCCCGGTCTCGGCAGCTTCAGTTCCATGCTCTTCCCCCCCGCCACCCGCCCCTGCAGTGATATGGACCATAACTTAGCAAGAGTGAGGAGGTGTGGGGCTAGGGTAGGGCCCGGGCTTGTTTTCTCATGAGATGCTTCAGTGTATCTACAAATAGCTTTTTTTTTTTTAACAGGACAGGAAAAAAGCGACTGGGTTCCATTACGCAATTCAGTCGACGTACCCTCTTCACAACCCTTAGGGAAGGGGACAGGGTCGGGGTGCTCCTTTCTTCACCTGCAGCCTCAATCTCCAGTCTTAATTCTGGGTTGCTTGGAGGCCAGTCCAGCCTCCTTCTGGAACCTTCAGTGTTCTGTCTCCCCACAAGCTGGGCCCTGGGGTAGGAGCTCTGAGCCGATACTCACCAAGTGGGCATATAAGCCCAGGCCTTCAAAAAGGTGCTGTGAGGCCAGAGATCATTTTAAAATAGACTTTCCATGAAAAACAACTCCAGCACATTTAGCCCCTGTGCCTGTCCTCATGAAAATAAACCACTTGCTACCGGCATGGAATAGTCCCTTGGTTGCCAGAAGAGATTTGGCCTCCTAAGATGTACTCAGTAGCCAACACACTTCTGGTTTAAGGGCTGGGATTGGTGGAAAATCTCTCCCTGGAGGATGGTACTTTCCTGGTACTAGGTACTTGTTTTCAAAGTGTCCCGTTTAGAAGACATTAATAATTTTTAGTGGAGGCTTTTTTTTCACATTGTTAATTATAAGCAGAAAGGATATTAAGTAATACTATAAATATTACAATTATGTTAAACTAATCCAGAAAACACTACGTTCCAATAGTCAAAGTTGGAAAAAGCATCTCAAAAGTGACTTACTTTCTAGAAATAGGGGTTATGTCACCTAGCGTATCATGTTATCTGTCCTCGGTACAGCTGGAGTCCATGGCACACTGGACTAATCGTGTGTCTCCCTCTCCCAAGTCTCAGCAATTGGGAGGTCTTACTCATTTACGGTGAGTGCTCGGCGCGTCTTCTTGACTTTAAGTTTTGTGGATAAGAACCATTGAGCATAGGGGTGGGCAGTGTCAACAGGAGAGCAGTGGAAAATGTTATCCATCTTTTTATGTCTCATACCAGTCCCACATTCTTGGAGTTCCAAAAGAATAAAATGTATGTATTAAGTAGAAACTTACTGAGGAAAATGGCAGCACGAGAGGGCCACACAGCATAATGAAATTCAAGCCTCTGCTTGGAAAAAAAATGCAGCCTCCACGGACGAGACAGTGGCAGGCCTCCCACGAGCTGCGCATACCAAGCAGTCCTCTAGAAGCATGTGTTTTTCACGTTGAAAGGGACACTCAGCAGTGTTCAGTGAATGGGAGCTGTTGAGAGTGGCTTGTGGTCTGCACTTCAGCCCGTGTGGTGTTGTTAAACAGGATGAAAGGCCCGTGACGATTCAAGACACTTGGCGGCTGATCCACCGAGGACGCAGACACACCACCAGGATCTCCCAGAGCGTCCTGACCGTCGAAGACCTGGAGACCATCGATGCCGGCGATTACATCTGCACGGCTCAGAACCCCCGAGGACAGACGACAGTAGCTACCACTGTTGAGTTTTCCTGACTTGGGAAGTGAAGTCTAACGGACTGATGCAAAGCCCACGTGTGAACACAACTAGCTCCGGGGTTCTTCTGACTTCTGCTTTGCCTGAGGCCGATGTCCAGCGCCAAACCCCAGGTCCTGCCTTGTGAGTCAGACCCAGACATCCGAGCTAAACGGAAGTCACCGGGTCTAATAACAGAAGTGTTAACTCCTCTAACAGAAAGCATGTATTCTGATTGCTGACCTACGTATATGCACTTCTAGTTTTTATACTAAGAAGGCATATATGTAAACAATGTCATATAATCATTTCTATTAAATGAGCAAGTTTTGTAAAAAATAAAAAATGGGCCAAGGGCTCGTTTTTAAAGTTGGCTTGACGCACATCCAGGAGGACTTGTTGGCAGCAACGTTTGCATCAATACCTAACATTCTATTCGATACAACAGCCACAGTGCATGAGAATCTAAAAATGCAGTTTATGTAGTTCAATAATATATGGACTTTGTATCGTATGAAGATATCAAAAACATGTCAACTTTTCCTTAAACCGCTGTACTCAGAAGTAGTTCTAGATTAGACATTCAGAAAGAACCAGAGCATGTATTTTTAAAAGGTTAACTTTCAAGGTAAAATTAGATGCACCAATCAAGGAAGAGTCAGCCTCATTTAGGTTTTTTTTTCTTTACGATCTTCAGAAGTATTTAGACTGTAGCTATTCCAATTTTCTTACCTTGTACAGCAGAAATGACACACGTAGCTTCAAATTTAGAAAAGAAAACCTGAGTCTAGCTCCGTGAGCCAAATTTCAGCCCAGGACCAATGCTGTGGTTGCCTTGGGAATTCTTGGGCAGTGGGTTAAGAGGCAGAGTGACGTTGGTTCCTGTGCTGTGAGAAGGGCTCCATGCTGGGTAACACTTCGGAGAGTGACATACGTCAGAGGATGCAGATCTCACGTTGAATATTCCAGCATTATTTATTTGATCAGAGTAAAATACATTATCCATCATCACTACAAACTGAGCACAACTACAGTTGTTTACACATCCATACTTTTATGACGTGCCCACATTTTGCATCCTAAGTGAAACATTTGATTTGAAAATAATCTTAACATTCTGTTTTGTTTCCTATCTTCTCTCCTGTTGTCTCCCATTCTCTGAAGACACTTTATATTAATTGTGTAAGAATGATTTCCCCAGACACCTCAGTGGCACGGAGGACAGCGGGGAAAGTACCATGCTTAAGGGATGCATGGTAAACCCGACTCCGGCCAATGACGTGGAGAACAACCTGGAAGGGTAAGCAGAGAGAGAGATTCCAGGGGGTGGCAGTGAACCTACGTTCCCACTTATCAGAAACAAACATGGAAGGTTACACACATAATAAACTGTTGAAGGTTAAGGACTTCAGACACAATCACTAGTAAAACAAAAACATGCATCAGGACTGTCAGTCTGCTACGTAGTGTACATGTAAGTGATGACTCGAAGATCCACCTCTAGTGTCCTGAGTCTGTCCTTACTACAGGGGTTATCTGTACAGCCGTCGAACGTCAGCAACGCCGAGTAGTAAATACTGAGCACAAGGTCGACACACGCAGGCAGAGGAAGAAAAAGCCATGGTTCTTCCTCCCTCCCCCCACCTCCCCGGAGTATGAGAACTGGAGGAGGGAATAAATGAAGTTTTGGAAAGAAACTGAAATGCAACTTGGAGAAGAGTTGTATAAGCCACATTTCCCCTCGTCGGCTGACCACTCCGCCACCTTCCCAAGGACAGGAGGACTGCGTCAAGGTGCACGGTAACTTAGTCTTATCTCGCCAGACTTGCTGTTCTGTTATCAAGGTGACCCCGCTCATCAGTAAGCACTGAACCCTGTCTTTCTCAGTTCTGCCAGCCAGTGACTTCCTCATTCTTCCATCTCTCTAGGGTTTCCCAAAATTTGCACTATTGGATCCAGGCCTTGGTTTATTTGGAACGTGGTTCAGCACCCTGAAGATGCGCTGGCTCCGGAAAAGCATGTTCCTTGTCCCCGAGAAAAGCAGGAAGGAGGTAGAAGGTTGGCTTTTGTGGCACTGAAGGGGGGAGAAAGGAAAAGACAGGAAATGGGAATAGTGGGAGAGAAGACAGTTTAAATCACTGAGGATAGCTCAGATCAAGGTAAAAATAAGGCAGAAGGAATACCGTTCGTACTGCCCTTTCTTTATACAGATTTTTAAAAGCAAAATTAGGATTCTACATATGCTTATAGCCTGAGGAAATGGATTGTAGTATTTTAGGTTCACATGGGTAAGTTAAAAAAAAAATCTAGCTAGTTTCAACTGACATGGCTGGACACTGAGAGGCTGCCAAGAAGTTACTCCAAAAGGACGCAGCGGTGTACAAGTCAGAGCTCGCCCACGTCCACGGGCCGAGCCAAGGTGGTGGTAGAAAATCCTCATTCCAGCAACTACTGCTCTTTCCTCTATGGCTTTTGCAGAGATGCAGACACTGATTCTCACTGGACCAGCGCATCTCCAGAGGTTCTCAGCTCCTGACTCAATACCCAGCAAAGGAGGCAGCATCAGACACGTGACACTCGGTTACACCCATTTCATTCACACATCCCCAGTCAGACCAAAATACACATCACAAGAAGGTGTCTGTGGTGAGGAACATTACAAAGGTTATATAAATCTTTTAACAGGCCCCTGAGAGTTTTCCCCTTTACGTGTAGGTGAAAAAGGCAACGAACAAGATCTCCTCGTTCCGTAAGTGCTTTGTGCATCAGCGTCAGTCTGCGTAGATCCGTTCCGGCGACATTTTTCGGGCAGAGTCTCCCGGACCGAGTCCAGAGCCTCGCTTCTGAGTTCGGGTCTGTCTCAGAAGGAGCGGGTCCGGCCGTGACGTTCCAGTTCCAGGGCGGGTGGGCGGGCGGGGCGCGTGGGCGAAGGGAGCTCAGCTTCCGCGCTGGCGAGGGGTCAGTCTGTCTCCAGGCGTCATCTGGGCGAGACGCTGGGGCTGGGGAAGGAGCCGGAGTTCCTCGGCGACTGGAAGGGGATGGCGGGGGACGTGGGCGACCTCTTGGGGCTGCACAGGTCCCCGTTGTGCAGTTTCCAGAGCAGCTCCTCGTTCTCCATGGACAGCCGCTTGTTGACCTTGGACTCCTTCTCCAGCGACTCCTGCAGGACCGCCTGCTCGGTGGAAAGCTGCCTGGAAGACAGGAGAGGAGAGCCAGAAGCCACATGGGTATGAGGGTTTGTTTTTTCTTAAGTTCAAAAAAGTCTATTTTAAATTTGAAAGTCCAAAAAATGACCCCTTTGGAAGGAAAGAAGCTTCGGGGTGTGGGTTCTGGGCGGAGACCCTGTCAAATGTGACCTGGAGCCAAAGAAACAGCTGCCCTTTGGGACAATTTCACAGGAGGCTGCTGGGGCATCCACAGATGTCCTGCAGGTCTTACGACTGTCGTGTGTGGGGCTGTTTCCCGAAAAGCATCACAAGACCGCTCCCAGCATCCATCAGCCGGAACCGCCGGGAAGGCTTGCCCACTTGGGACTCAGCCTCTGGTCCAGGCCACGCTGCTAAAGGCAGCAAGTTTTCCAGACGGAAACCAGAACCTCTTTAACCACCCGCTTCAATCGCATTTCCAGGAGTGTGGTAAGAAAGGAACACCCCGATGTTCGAGGTAAGGAGGAGCTCGGGGAAAAAGTTTTATTTTTACCTTGAAATTGCCATGTGCTTGTCCATTCGAGCTTTTAATTCTTCATTCTCCTGCTGGAATCGCTTCAGTTTGTCGACCAGCGCCGTGTTGTTGTCCACCTTGGCGTAAACGAGAGTGCCCACATTTATACGTTAAGAATTAGATAAAGCCCCTCATTTCCTAAGGTAGCTTCATGCTGCAGGTACAAGCCAGGGAGACTTAATGAAGGGAAGTTTAATGGTATGTTGACCTTCTCTACACTGATGCACTGCAAAAAGCATCTCCTGCAGGGCAACAGAGCACCTGGAGCCAGGCCACTTGGAAACGGACACAGCCGGGGGGTACCTGACTCATTCCAGGTCACATGGTTTTAGGGTTCCCTCTGAGAATGGGTGCCGTGCCTTTCAGTTTCAAGGTGAAAAAACAACAACATGGCAGCAAGGCAGCCAGTGTTATATCAGGGGGGTCAGCACAATAGCTACTTACAGAATTTTTTGCCAAACAAAATACCCACATTTGATAAAAACTCACAGGCTAACAGTTCACAGTTCTTGGCAATGTTTAACATGACCTTGGACATGGTTTCCTGGTTACTGTTGAGCATTTACCTCCAGTGGCCACACGGAGCAATCTACGCAGCTCTATAGAGCGTCAAAATAAAGACGTGACCGTCCAGAAAGCCTCCCTCCTCAGCTGAACTGAAGACACATTTGCTGGCCCGCCCAGGCTAACCGTGCAAGGGAAACAGACTGGTTGAGAGATTAAAGGACAAAATCCCAGAAGACATTAAATCGGTTGGATGAAGGGATGATTACATCCCAGCTCACTTCCCACAGGTCAGATCTTCTTATTGGTTGGGAGGCGACATCACGGCTGTCAGCATTTGTTCCAAGGCCCTGCTGTTGCCGCAGGTGACTAAGCTCCCTTCAGTCTGGCTCTTAGTTTGTGGTCCCACTGTTCCTTAAAGTCTTACCATCCAGAAAATGCTTAGGACAAGCCAATCAGGTGAAACAAGTGTCCAAAAAATGTAAGCAGAGTGTAAGAAAAGGGGGGGGGCGCCTTAGAGTTTCCAGGAACTAACGGAATTCACGATAAAACTTGAGGTCGGAAAATCCGCAATTAGACTGGGCAGTGATTGGCCTAAACATGTTACCTCGTCCAATTTTACAGGAGTGGAAATTAGCTCCGTGGCTTCACCAGGGCTAGTCATCAGCAGAGCAAGTTTTGATACAGAAGCTTTCTGCGCGTCTTATTTTCTACAACAACCTGGAGCTTACAGATAAACAAGGTAACAGTGGCTTGACCTGCCATCCTGTCAACACATTCTTCTGCATACACACCATACAGCACTGACTAATATCATGACACCTCTCGGGCAGGGCAAGGCACAGAAATACTTGTGGACCAGCAAAACTTCAGATGTATGAGTAATTTTACAGCAGAGTCTGTTCTTAGTGCACAGGATGATTTGAAAAGTTCTGATGTGTGAATGGCATAGGGGGCAACAAATTATTAACAGGATTATCTGAGTCATTACTGACGGCCAGGTTGGCCGTTACCAGACCTGATATCACAGGATGACCTTTGGCCCGAAATGGTATAGATGCTAGGTTGGGCCCATTAACGGTTCATGAGTTCCTTTCCTTTGAATTACCCAAAACTTGCGGGTAATTCAAAGTACACATATACATCCACAAGGGGGCTTAGCTCTTCCCTCCCTTAAGAGAGGTAAACAGTCTCCTATCTAGAAGAAAACCCAACTGAACACCACAACCCAGACAGACAGACAGACAGAACTAATGAAGAGTGCCTTCCAAGTACCCTGTCATCCAGGGCTGGCTGGGGCTGGAATGAGGCACTTACTCAACCCTGAGTCACTCAGAATCAGGGGGCGAAGGGACAAGCATTGGGAGCGGCTGGCACAGTCCAGAGGGGTATACAGAGTACGGCAGGGGCTGCCGTGGCAAACCCCGCCCACTTGGTTAGACCTGGGCTATTAGCAGGCAGGTGTGTCCCAGGGCTGGGCCGAGACTCACAGGGACACGGAGCTCGCCGCTCCCATCGCCAACATCAGGCCTCTGCCCGGCGGCCGCAAACTAAACTTTAGTCATAACGATGGCTGCCTGTCCGACTGGATTGATTTTATTAAAGTGCAATTCTCTTATTGCAGTCTAATTCACAAGAAGCAAGGTGAATTTAGACAGCAAGAGCGAATTGCTCCAGTGGGATTGATTTACTGTTTTGAGCATAAGGAACCCACGTAGAGTGGGTGGTATATTAAAGAGCTGGTTTTACATTATTTAAAAATTCTTATGCAAGTGAATATTGACAGACCATGGAAATTGGAAAAATGACAACACAGGTCTCCCAACACCTAATGCTGTATGTTCTTTGGGAAGAAAAAGTTCTAGAAGGCAACAATAGATAAGCCTTAAGCCAACACAGAATAGAAAATGTAACCTTCTACCTTTCATATGTTTCTAAACACCTATAAATAGCAGTTACAACAACTCCACGCTTCTAGTTCAGAGGCCGGGTCCCATGTCACAGGTATCAGCCCCTGCGGGATGGCCCTGGAGGGAACATACCAGTTTCTCCATTTTCATTAACTTGACGTCCTGTTGGTGCAGTTTCTCATTCTTGATCTCCAACACAGCCTTGAGGCTTTCTAACTCTTGCTCCAGATACATCATCTGAGGGTTTTTCTGGAAAAGACACAGCAGGATATAACTCTGATCACTTAACACAATTACCTAGTTCATTGCTTATTAC